AAGTTGGAGTGCATGTATTTGTTAGGAGCACGCTAGCAACCCAAGGAGGGAGATATAGGACAAACTTTCCAACTTCAAACCATTTCCCCTCACCCCGTGCTGGCTTTCACTCACATTCTAGTGTACAGAGAGAAAGGCGGTAGGAGTCTCATTTCCGTAATGATGCTAGAATGCTTCTGCATACGGCTTTAAAAATCAATCAGCATGAATAGTTTCATCCAGGTCTTAAGCCCCAGCCTCAGCATCCACGGCCACAGGTGAAATATCACCGAGTTAGGAAATACCCCTTCTTGGGAATGGAAAATATTCTATACTTTTGAGTTCTTTATTTGCATTTCAAAACTTATGAGATTGCAGCAAAATGAAAGGGAGAAGGGCAAAGCAAATTCATTTCCTTCTCTCTTGGCTGAATACCTGATAATGGCAGCCAATTTAAAGGAGACACGCGTTCTTTGCTTTACCAAATTCAATTACTTCTGAGATTTGAAGAATGAGAGAGAAACGCCTGGTAGTGTTTGTCTAGGGAACTGTGACTGCAGATCGAGTCCTTAGAGAACAGAGAAAACACCAGCCCAGTTCATTATCAATTGACTTTACTATGTATTATGTCCTTCAATACTAGGACAAAATGAGAAATTTCTCAGAAGTATTTAGCCAATTAATTTAGTGGCACTGGCAACTCAAGAATGCACAGCAAAATTGACTTCCCTTTGTGAGATCAAATGGCCCCTTAATCTTAATAAGGCCTTAGTTCCACTGATTATTAGTCATTTTGGAGATTTTGCCCCTCAAACTCCTTAAACAATCCTTAAACAGTCCAACACATTCGCAGTAATCACACTCTCAAACATTAATAATCTAATAAATTAACTGAGTGTCCAGCTTTCAGAATGCTAATTTATGGAGATAAAGGCTAAAAGAGATGCACTCGAAGGTTGGGGTGTAGCTCAGGGGTAGAGCGCTTGCCTGCCATGGAGAGGCTACAGGTTTGATCCCCCACACCGCCAAAAAATAAATACATACATACTAAAGAGGTGTAGTCTACATCAAAATTAATGCGTCTTTGTAACAGGCAGGATAATGGTACCCCAAAGATGTCTGGACCCCAATTCCCAGAACCTATAAATATGTTACTTCACATGGAAAAAGAGATTTTGTAGATGTAATTAGGTTAAAGATTTTGAAGTTGGGCATTATTCAGATAACCCCAGCATGATCACAGGGGTCCCTCACAAGGGAAAGGAGGAGGCAGAAGAGGTATAGAAGGCTGGTGAGGGGAGCAGAGGTCAGAGTGATGCGTGCCTCCAGGAAGGCAGGCAGCCTCTGGAAGGTAGGAAAGGCTCTCCGATCTCCAGCTCAGAGTGGGCAGGCAGTCCTGTAGCTCTCAGTCACCAGGTGTATGGTAATTCGTTATAGAGGAGACAGGAAACTAAGGTAGTTTTGTTTCATTTGTGTAAAGCAAAGAATCAGTACTTACAGTGAGATTTTTTGGGGGAAAAAAGGCTTTTTTTTTGTCTTTTTGGGACAGGGTCTTGCTATGCAGTTCAGGCTGGTCTTGAGCTCACCTTGTAGCCCAGGCTAGTACTGAACTCCCAACAATCTTCCTGCCTCAGTCTCCTGAGTGCTGGGATTACAAGCGTGTGCCACCATGCCTGGTGCAAAAAATTCATTATTAAAATCATGTAATGTTCCTACATCTTGTGAAATCACTTTTTCTTTCTTTCCTGGGCAAGGCAAGAAGATCTAGAGTGAAATAGGTCTAGAGTGAAATAGATCTAGAGTGAAATATGCTCCACTAAAGCTATAAAGTTCATGCAACTCCTAAGTAGCCCTAAATAACACACATTCTTTTTCCATTTGTACTTGAAATTCTGTGCCCTTTAGGATGGGTAGTAATGTATCTTTTTCCATGAAAAGCAAGATGCTTCTTTCTTTTTTTTTTGTTTTTTCTCCAGTACCGGGAACCGAACTCACGACCTTGCGCTTGCCAGGCAGGTGCTTTTGCCACTGAGCTAAATCCCCAGCCCCAAGATGCTTCTTTCTTAAAAGCTGAGTGTTTTAGCTATAGTTGAGCTTCTTTTCTTTTTAAATAAGTTTTTATTTTACGGAAAAATAAAACAAAATTTCATAACAAAGTAAGAGAATAACAATGGTCAATACACTATCATTTTTTCAAAGCAGTTACTTAGGGTGTAAGATTGATAAAAAAGATTCTGTCTTCAAAGGAAGAAACAAACAGGAAACAGCATATATTTGAGTTTCTGTGTGTTAGATTTCCAGATCTTTTTCCTCTTGCATAAGTGAAACTTTCTATCCTTTGATCAGCGTTTCCCACTAAGCCCTCCCTTCAGCCCCTGGCAAACAGAGTTGTACTCTGGTTATATGCTGTTTGACTATTTGGGATTCTACATATCATTAGTAAGATCATGCAGTATTTGTGTTTTGTGTCTGGCTTATTTCACTTAGCAAAAGGTCACTGATATGTGTGCCATAAGAAAAATAACACATATGAATGATATGCAGCATGATATATCAGAAATATAACTGTAGGGAACAATACTATAGTGTTGTATTGCATATTTCAAATTTGCTAAGATGGTAGATCTTTAGAAATTTGCTGAGAGGGTAGTTTATTGTAAAAAAAAAAAAAACAGGAATTATGTGAGCTTGACTGTGATGATTATTTCACAATATATACAAATATAAGAATATGATGGTGTTCATTTCAAATATACACAATTTTTATTTGTCAGTGATGCTCCACAAAGCTATAAAATGAAATTTTTATGCTGATTTAAAATCTCAGTTTCATCTCAGGAGTTAAGCTGTTGCTTATGCTGAAGTATTTATGTGAAATGAACAAAATACATTTTGGAAAAGTTGTAACAAAATATGCTTTGCTTTGTGACCAGTTACGTCAAAACTTAAACTATGGATATGTATGGATGATAAAAAATACTATACTTGTTTGAGTGAATTGGGAATCAGCCATTATTTGGGCCAGATTATGCTCAAAGATTGTAAAGATTTTTAATGCTATTCTCAGTGTGCCAAGATGCCACTGGAAATATATACTACAGAAACTATTCAGTTATATTTGTCTAAATGCCCCATTCTTTCATTAGTTCTTATCTGCAAAGCTTAAACTCTTTATTATATGGTATTTTACTAAAAATGTGCACCAACTTCTGATTTAAACAAGTTATTGGGAAAGAAGTAGACATATTGAAAAAATAGAACAGAGTCCTGAAACTAATTCATCTATTTATGTGAAATTAGGAGAGATCTAAAACTACAGTAAGACAATGATGAATACACTGGTAGTTTTATTGTAATTTACCAACCACTGAAAAACCTAAAACTAGAATTCTGTGTCACACCCTCTGTACATATGAAATATTAAAAAAAAAAACCTAAATGCTGTAAAAGAATTAGAATAGAGACCATTGTTAGAATGTTAGAGCAGGGCACATCTTTTTGCTTTGACATTAAAATTAAATACTTTTATAGCATAAAAGGCACATAAATAAGGTTACAAAAATGGTTACATTATATATAACAGACAAATGAATAAGATATAAGAAGTTCCTACAAATCATTTTTATGAAGTGGCAATGGATATGAATGGGTAATTTGCAAGGGGAAAAACAGTCACTGCCTGAGCTTAGAAGTAATTGGGGAAATGCAAATTAAAACAATGAGGTATCAACTTTTCATCCATCATACAGACATAATGATAAAATACCAGATAATATTAATCATTGGCTAAGATATATAAAAAGGACCCTTGAAACATAGCCAAGTGTAAATGTGGTTCCTGATCGCTCTAGTGCCATAACTCCTATTGTATTTGTCCTTACTGAGGACAGTCCTTAGCAGGCATACAAAGGAGAATTTACAAAAAGTGTTGGTGGTCCCAGTGCTTGTCATGACAAATGACAACCTCTATGTTCATCGCAAGGAGCTTGGTAAAATAAATTATGGCAAATCCATATACACAACATTTTGCTGCTGCTCAGAGGGAGGAAGAAAATCTCTATAGATTCACAGGGAATGATCTTCAAATACCCTTTGTTAAGGGAATTAAAAATCAACTCTTAGAATGGAATTTACCATTGTGATTATAGGAATGAATACTTCTTTCAATAATTCACTCTAGAAGCTTGTGATATTGACATTTAGCAATGTTATTTACATATCATGGTGATCTGGGGGAAAAGCAACTCTTGGAAAAATGCTCTTAGTACTGTACAACTTAAGAACTGAAAAACTGTATATAAACATATGTGTCTACAATGCACAAGGAAAATGCCTGAGATGTTCCACCCAAAACTCTTGCAAATAACCTCTATGCTGGGAAATTATGGCTAGGAGCATCAGGCATGTTTTTTCTTTCCACTGGCACAATCTGATCTTCAATAATGAATATGTAAGTTACATGCCAGTCATATGGTTAAAGATATTTAAAATAAACATCTATTAGATTCATATATTATTTAAATGCATTTTGTGGCTGATTTTTTTCGGTGCTTTTCCTTAGAAAATATAGAAACCTCTTTTTTAAGCCCCAGAAAACATTTCAAGCTTTAAAAAGATAGCTAAGAGAAATTGAATAGCACATGTCTTAAAGTCTAAGACATTCATTGTAACGTACACCATTAATTTAATAACAGCTTTTCAGAAAGACAAACAGGACATACAATTTGGTTGAGTGTATAAAATGATTGTAAGATGGATTTCAACCTCACAACTGTTTTCGATAAAGACAATTATAATGAGTGTCACATTTTGTATAATACGGAAAGGTAGGTAAGTGAGATGGCAAGCGTGATTCTTTTTTGATGCATAATAAACACAAGCTTGCAAATCATAGACGGCCACATTGATGTGACTCTGGTAGGGATATTTACACAGCAAAAGACAGCGCAGTGTGAACCCACTGCCCCCTGCAGATGCCTGCGTGAGTACAGCATATCCCCCTGAGCGGCCCAAGATCTTACCTTATTGGGAAATGGAAATTTGCTCGGTTCCACTTTGGTGGGTGCTTGAACAGCAGATAGTGGTGGAAGCCAGGTCATCTCCTGGAGTTGGGAGGGGGAGATAAAAACAAACAATACTGTGATAGACAGAAGTCTCAGAGTCAGTAGAGGGTTAGGGTGGCTCCACACGCCTGCTTAGAGGTTAGAAAGGAGGTTAGAAAGGACAGGAATGCATAAGGAATAAAACGATGTGAAGCCTGCTTTTATGATTTGTTTCCCTAACTTGACTTTGACCCATTCTTGATTTCATGGCTGTGGCCAGGCTCGCTTCATAGCTGAGAAAGAAAAGGACTGTCCTATTTTCACTTCATGTAAGCCTCTGAGAAAAGGAACATCCCACTAGTGAAAGCTCTGTGGAAAGCACCGTACAAAGGAGGCTTGGACTGGATTCCAGAGAAGTCATAGGAGTCTCTGAAGGAATGTATGGGGAACTTTAATTTTAGGGGCCTTTACCGGAGGACTTACACATAGTATCAGAGACAAATAATAAGTTCCCAGAAAGTTCCACACATCACTTTGGCCTTCATAGCAAAGCCATTCATGGCGAATTGTAAAAACGTATCATGTGCATGAGAAAAAGTGATGCCAATTTTTATAAGCCAGTATTGAGAGTACAACTTGAGTTACATGTACAATATTTTGTCGTGTGCTTTCTGGCACACACTGTCACTGTACTGTGGGAGGAGGACGGAAGGGTGTGTTATTTGCTTCTAGTACCCTCCTTCAATTTCACCTCCTGGAAGAGAGTTGCCATCCATAACCGATGATGGGATTAAACCAACTTCTGATGACCAGGAAGTCAAGGCGGAGTTTACATACAGGTTCAGAACCTGTTTCTTGGCTGGCTTGCACTTCCAAACCGAAGCAAGCATGGAAGCGTAGCTGGTTCATTTAAATGCGAATGATGCATTATCTCTCTTGCAGGGCAGTGTCCTCACCCCTTCTGGTAGGTGGTGGGGTGCTGAAAAGGGATTTCATTTAGTAATGGAAGGATGGTCTTGCGCCTGTTTTCCTGGGTTACTCTCCTCCCCACAGCCTCTGATGGGGCAGAACCCACACAGAGATGGAAGAGGGACAAGCGTGGCCAGGGTCATCCTGGGAGGCTACGTTGTTTCTCCCCCATCACGACACATGTGCTGCAGGCACGTAGCTTTCAAGGTGTCCCTTCTCTTGTCTGCAGTCACCGAGGGTTTCCATGGAGAACAAACGATCCAGTGTCTCTCTCTCCTCCACTACTTGGTCCCCAAGTATCCACCAGTGCCTCGCAGGGGGAGTTGTTCAACACAGCTGCCACGCTGTGTTCAGCATAGAATCTGACTTTGTCCAGGTCTTTCTCAGGGGAGGGCACCACGTTGTCCAGGAATTGGTCAGCTCTTGCCTAGATCTTTGCTACCCAGACAGCTTTGAAGACAAAATGAGTTTTCCTCGGCTCCCAACCTTGTCCTTCCTAATGCTCAGCAGACCCTTTGCACCACTGCTTCTCTTTCTACTATAGGGTTTCGGATTTTTCTCTTTTGTTTAAATTACTGGCTAGAATAGGTGTATGTTTGCTGTAAGTGGCATTGAATCTCTGCAGAGAAAGTTAATCAATTACAAACACTTGAACTGATCCCCTCCCCCACACCATGGGAACTGTTTGATATATCCCAAAGGCCAACCCACTCATCAGCCACTCAGTAGCTTCCTTTGCAACTACTCTTTGGCTTACATAATTTAGACTGTGTGGTCCTTAGGATCCAAAACTGATAAATACAACGAACTACAAGTGATTAAACACTGGACTTGCAACACAATCCCCGTCTGTCCATGTTAACTTTGTACAAATTATTTGATGATTCTATCTGCCAATCAGCACGCCATATACACACATTCATTTTGTGTCTGGTTATTCTAAAAATCCTCAAGCAATGAACTATTTATATGTGTCCTCCAGCTACTCAGGAATAAAGGAAATGGCAAGTTCATTAAAATATAAATGGTAGTACCATGAGCTACTTGCCAGCCCCGTAGTCTTGACTTTAACTCTGATCTTTGGACTTTAGTCTTGAAGAATCAGAATCCTGGTGTTCCATGTGTCTCCAATCCATTTCTCCCACCAAGAACACAAGCACACTAAATTGTTCTTGAAGTCTAACACCCAGCATAACCACCTAATGGACATCTTCGTTGGCCCATCAAGAGCCTCCCCTGTGGTGGGAGTCATTCTTAGGCCCACTATAAATCCCCTGAAAATCTCCGATTTGGGATCAGGCTCTCATTCTGGCTTCTTGGATCTTATACCTGGGCTGTGAGGAACAGACAGCTGTGCCCGGTGGTGAAGGTAGAGGTTTGAAAGCTCAACTTTCCTGAGTTTGGACCCTCCATGTGGGAAGGGCAATGATGGCGAAACTTTTAAGAGACGAAGTGTCCAAACTACCATCCAAAACCCAGTTATTTATTGCAAAATGTCAGCACTGCAATTAAATCTGGATGTCTGATGCTCAGCTGCTGGGGTGACGTGGCTCATGTACCAACAGAGAGGGCTTAGCAGCACCAGTGCCCCAGGTCCACCACCACTGGGCTATGGCAATCCTTGCCACATCTTCGGCATTCCTCAGACAGTATTCCTGCATCTTGTGATTTTCCTTGACCTCACTCAGGTCCTCATCTTCTCACAACAGGTGACTTTTCCTCCAAAGTCACTGAAAAATATTGGGACTTTTGGGTCTCGGTGTCCTTCAAGGACGAATGTATTGGTCTTCATGACCGTGTTGGCCAACCCCTTTCCTTCCCTCTGGGAGACTGAAGTCCCAGGCACCTCCCACCTTGACTGTGCCTCTGCCCTGGGATCTAGTTCCACCAGCACCCCACAGGTTTGCTTTCACCTCCAGTCTTTCCTTGTCCGGCAGCTTCTTCTGGTGGTGAACAGTGAAGGCCTTCAGTCCTTCTTGTCTTTGTCTCTTCTTTGCTTATTCTTTAGTTCTCTATTTCACGTAATAGCCAGTGTCTTCAAAGGACCTTCTATTCTTGCTGTTTTGATACCATCTCTCCTAAAGCAACCATTTCTTCTTTCCCTTCCTTTTTTTTTTTTGACTTATCAATCAAAACTGTTGAACTGTTGAAGACAACACACGGGAAACACTGCAAACCACAGGCAAGGCAAGAACTTCCTAAACAGAGTTCCAATAGCACAGAAGATAAAATCGGGAATCAACAAATGGCACTGCTGAAAAATGGCACAAATGAAAAAGCTTCTGTGTTTGAATGCTCCGTGTCAGTCTGTACTTCCTTTCCTTCCCCTCGTGATCTAGCTCATTACTGTGGCTTTAAAACTCATCTAGGACTTGCAGGGTGCTCAGATGGACGCAGCTCTCACGTGCCCCCTCTCGGTGCCTGCTGACCCTCTCCACTGTTCTACCATCAATTCAAACTCACTATGTTCATTTAAAACTGATCATCTTCTCCCCACAAACGTTTCTTCCTCTTATATTCTAGGTCTTGGTTAAGGGCACCAGTATCTAGTAACTCTCCTACTTAGGATCTTGGAGTCATCCTAGATTCCTTCTTTTCTATCACTCCCCTCCTTATGACATCAGTAATTCACATCTAGTAAGCATTTAAAATATAAAATGTGATCCACAATGTATTTAACATAATTTCCCACCAACCCCAAAAGATAGGGCATTACACCCTCATTTTATAGATGAGAAAACCCAGTCACTAAGATGAGGTTCGCTGCTCTGCACAAGCTGGGAGCCTCTCTTCACTTCCTCTTGTCTGCCAAGCTGTTTTCTGTTCTGTCAAGACCCAGTTCCAATTCTGCTTTCCTGTGAAGCCATCATGGGCCAAACTAAGGTTTGAGCCAGTCTTTCCCTGTGCCCTGTTCCCTCACTGGCCCATACAGATCTCGAAGAGGATATTTGTCTCCTGACTTGTGAGGGGTCTCTCAAAGGTGGAGAGTGTGTAGTCTGGCAGGACTCCCAGAGCCTAGGACAGAGCCTGGGACAGTGTGTGTGCTCAGGACCTTTCGGAAAGAATGCCAGATTGCACAGCATCTCTCTAATGACCCCACCTTTCCTCCTTTTCTGTTACCTGAACTACATCCTAATCACACCACCACCACTTCTAACCCGACTCACAGCTTCCTGCCCTCTTCTCTTTCCTCTGTTTCCATGCACTCCTCCACATGGCTACCAGTGAGTTTCCTAAGGAGCGGGTCTAACCAGAGAACTTCACTGCCCCAGAGTATTTGCAGAACATCATTGTATCCGTAACAATAATTACAATCGCCACCATGGAGACAGGGACGATGGGTCCTGCTGTGCCTCACGGTTTTTAGAATACTGCCTTGCAAACCCTTCATCTATGCCCAGCACTTGAGGTAATAATCATTATCTCCATATTAAAGGTAAGGCAGTTAAAGCTCAAAAGGATTAACTGATTGGTCCAAGGCTGCTCATTTCATAAATGCCACAGCTGAAGCGTGGCCATGAATCCCTTGTGCTGTGCCCTATATTTGCTTTTCACTCTTCTGCATTTGCCCTCAAAGACTTTACCCTTGTACACTAATTTTTCTGCCTCATGCCTTTTCATTGATCTACAAGTCCGCACCCACGTGATAAGCTCATCTCTGCTTCTACTGACGCTGTCCCTCTGCATGCACGTCCCTTCTGCCATGTGGTTCGGGGACCCTCACCACCCAGGAGGATGCCTCTCAAACATCACTTAGGTCTTCAGGCCTCTGCTGACTTTCCTTTTATCCCAATTCGATATGACAGTTCCCATAGAATGACACTCCAAAGCACTTACACTTTCTTCTTTCACACCATCTCCTGTGTTCTGTTTTGTAGCTGTCTGACAACGCACCACAATCTACATCCAACCATTTCTCCCGCTTTGCCTGCCCTTCCCTACTATTGTGATGAATAAATAATCGTACTTAGGAGACTTAATAATCTCTTTCAAGAGCATTCAATTATAATAAACATAATCCCCAAATAGGAGTCCTAATAATATCTTTGAAGAGCATTTGATTTGATAAACATAATCTCCTACAGAAGGAC